ATTCAGTGACGAAAATTATTGTTTTCATTTTATTTACTGATTAACTAAATTGATTAAATCACTGTGAACATAATAGTTTTAGGTATAAATTATGATCCATTGCTTTTTCCACGCTGACCGGACTTTTCCTTTAAGACAGTAAGTTGTTTTGCCTTTGCCATCAAGAGATCTTTACAGTGGGATTATTTGACATGAAATTACAGGGAATCTTAATCTTTGCAAATATTTTAACTTTTAAAGACTGTGGTCTTAAACATTTGATCAGCTGATGAACAGATTATTTGAGTTAATTTGTTATTTTCAATTAATTTCCTGCACAGAACTTTTGGTCTCTTGTTCCCATTTCTTCTGTTTGTATTTTGAAGCTTGACTTAGAACCTTCTTAAGACCTAACAGTACAAAATGCTAAAACTGGTCTTACATTTCCAATTAGTAGTGTACAAACAGCTCATCTCCTCTTTTCGACTCACCCTATATGGAAGAAGGTTGATTATGTATGTACTAAAATGTTAATTTGGCCATATGCTTTTTAATCATTATCCTGCTGAAAGACAGAGAAGTAGATCCATGTCATTACAGATACTTCAGCGCAATTAACAGTAAGTGTTTGGAGATTTTCTACAGCATACCAGCATAAATGTTTGTTGCCAACTCAGTCTTAGTCTCATCTGACAAAATCTCATAGCTCGTGTTGAAGTCCCAGTAGAATTTACTCCATAATCCAAATGCTTAAGTTTTTGATTGTAGGGCAGAAAGTGCTTTTTTTTCTGGCATCAGTTTCAAACAACCTGTCATGCAGATAGCATCTAGCTGTTTTATTGTTTTGAATCTGTAAGAGTCTCTCAGTTGCAGCTTTACTGCCCTTATGATGTTGCTGACTGTGCTGAGAGGCAACATAAACTTTGCTCTTCCTCCAGCCCAGTGCATTGTGGCTATGTGGAATGAGTCTCTGTGTTATTTTGTGCAGCATTTATATCCTAAAAAGTTATAAACTAAACAAGTCATCGACAATTTATTAACTTTAAACATATATTTAAAAGTATACATTTAGTATAACCTTAAATATAGAATGCATTGATTGGGTTTTCAATAATTTGATCTAATCTGGTTTATAAAAACAAAAAATTTTCTATTAACCCAATAACTAAAATAAGTATAAACTAAATGATTGGTTATATGTAGCCTATTCACAGAGACGTCATGCTAATCTAATAAAAAAATTATTTTAGAGTGAAATGATGATTTCAGGATCATTTACAAAAATAAAATAGTTTTTTGAAAGAACAATTTAAAAATGCATACAGAATTTCAAGTTTCAGATTTCAATTAATTAGATATGTTCTTACTGTGTTCTTTATCAAATTAATCAAAAAGAAATTACGTTTTTTTCGGCATAAGGCTGTGTGGCGATTCAAGGTCTCTTTTTATGTTGTGAGCTAAATAATTCACAAATAAGTGCAAAATGGTAAGCTCAACCAAAGTAAAGCAAAATGCAAAAACTGACTTGGCAATCTCATAGAGGAGAGCAGTAACCTACGGTGGATGTTGAGAGTGACAGTGGCTCTTTTGCCCATTGGCACCGCTGGATTGCTGGCCACACAAGTGAAATTGCTGCCGCTGTCGGTGTCAACTGGAGTGATGGGGAGATAGCTCCTGGTCGTCACTCTCTTCCTGTCTGGCAGCACCTCCTGTTTGCCGAGAAACAGTCAGAAAGGTAAGAAAAAAAAAAGAACACCGTTGGAGAAGCTTACAAAATAATTTGGAAAAAATGGGAAAGCCACGATAAAAAAAGTAGAAAGGTAAAGGGCAATATAAGGCAAATACAACAAATTACACTTAAAAAGATAAAATACATACAGCAGTCTGTGTTATAATTTTGGAAAGTAAGAAAAAAAATCTTCTGGCCCAAACTGATCACTTTTTAATGAAACAAGGAGGCAGCATCTTTGTAAATGCAGCTCCTGAACCTGTCAAGTCGGTAGGTGACTGTGTGTAATATAACTGAGTGGTCAGTAACATTGTAACACAGGAGCAGCATGAAATAAACATGACCACATGTGTTCGTTGAAAGGGGATAAAACTGGCTCAGAGAGATGTAAAAACATCTGTGTTTGAATGTGTGAGTGTTTGATGCTGATTCTGTGTGCATAATAAAACATGAGCAAGCATATGGGAGCGTGAGGCTTGCAGGCACGATTTCATGAGTGGGAGAGAGAACAGGATCCTGTGGAGCCTAACAGTGGGGGGAAGAGTGCAGAATATGACTGCAAACAAGGTGTCAACCAGCTCAGCTCCTTGGTTTGTTTTTTTCATAAGAGTGTCTGTGAGTGTTTGTGAGGTGGTTTGAACTTTATAGGGTTAATAAACACGCCTTGGATCTTTTTTATCTTTCAAGTTGTATTACAAGCAAGTTACAAGTGTGCAGATCAACAAGTGTTTGGCATGGCTTTGGTCTTTTACCTCAACGGATCAAAGTGTATTAAATTG